ACTGCCCCGCGACGCCGCTGGGACCAGCCGCCACCCTACGTGGCTCCACCTTCTTACGAAGGCCCCCACAGGACCTTGGGGACGAAGCGAGGCCCTGAGCTCTCCCAGGCGCCCACCTCCGCCCCAGCTCTGACCCCAGCCAGGACAGAGGGAGGGCGCGCGAAGAAGAGGCTGGATCCTCGGATCTACCGGGACGTCCTCGGGGCTTGGGGTCTCCGACCGGGGCGGGGGCTCTTAGGGGGCTCTCCAGGTTGTGCAGCGGCCAGGCCCAGGCCGGAGTCTGTCAAGGGGGCTGCGAAGAAAAGCCCGGGCCAAACTGCTGCTGGCCTCAACAGTGGCAGCAGCGGTCGTTCCCAGGCCGACGCTACTGGTAGCCCAGGCACGGAGACAGCTCCTGCGGGGTCTGCTCCTGCGACCCCCAGGCCCCTGCGTCCCGCCCCCAGGTCTGGGCACCACCTCAAGGGCTCCAGGGAAGGGAAAGAAGGAAGGGAACATATCTGGCTCCCTAGATGCTGGATTCCTTCCCCTAAAAAGCAGCCGCCCCTCCACAGCCAGACCCTCCCCAGACCGTGGGCTCCAGGAGGCACGGGATGGAGAGAGTTCCAGGGTAAGAGAGAAGGGGAGGGACCCGAGGCTCTGGGAGGTTGGAAGGCGACCCGCCGCGCCCACACCCTGCCCCGCAGCTCGCGGGGTCCCGCTCGTGGGGAAGGCGTCTTTGTCATTGACGCCACGTGCGTGGTGATACGATCCCAGTATGTTCCGACTCTGCGAACCCAACAGGTGCAGCTTTTGCAGTCTGGGGAGCCGCGCGTCGTGGGAGATGGTCTAGGGCAACCCAAGGGCAGTAAGGAGGAGGGTGAGAGGGCCTCAGTCTTTCCCTCCGCCTGCCAGAAGCTGCTACTGAGCAGTCGCCTCTCGCACCAGCCCAGTGGGGGGCACGGGTGCAAAGCCGAGGGCAGGAAGCCGGAGGACTCCTCACCGGAGGAGCGCACTTCCCTCATCTTGGGACTCTCGCTCGGCGAAGTCAACCGGCCCTGCCCCGCTGCGCAGCCGGGTAGCCCAGAGCGCGCAGCCTCAGGCCCGGCGGC